CAGGCTTATTGAACACATAAGTGTTAGCGAGATTCGGATAGAAATAGCGAGTATCATCGGGATCGGTCTTGCTTACAAGTTCGTACCAAAGAGCAATATGTACCTTAAAATCACTTGCCTGGCTCGAAAGAACGTTCTCGAGCTTATCGTAGATATTAGTAGCCTCGATACCCTCATATAGGTGTGATTCCATGTGATCACCATTGTTAAAACGATACTTAGGATCAGCCTTGAAGTCAGGCGGCAAGTGCTTCTCAAGGGTTTCAATCGAACATTGTACTGCTTAGCTACCAATCTCTGGTTGATTGGACGCGAAACGTTGCTTACATAAACAATCTTACGCATTCTACCACGCACCTTAGTACGGTAGCTACTACCCCATTTGATAGCTTGGATATTTCATCTCTTTAATCCTTCGAGCTCGTATGCAAAGATGTTGCCTATATATGCTTGGCTTTATTCTTCTTCGTAGATATGACTTTATGATATTTTGATCTTGTATCAGGATCGACTTTATATCTCAATCAATTACAAAACATCCTGAGACTAATGAATTTAGATATTTGGTTTATGCTTTGTTGGAGGTTTTGAGCCATTCATTTGAAGTGCGTCAGTCATTGGGTGTACTAAATGGAAGAGAAGTCGTCTCACATAGATTTTCAGCCAATGATGAGACGCCACGTTGCGCTGGTCCGAGCTAATCCTTGAAATAAGAATTTGTCGGCGTAGTGTTCTATTGCTTTTGTCAATATAATTTGAATGTTGTCGGTCGCGCAGTCCCGAAACGCCCTAAGATCCAAAATACGTGGCTCTCGCTATAAGGTGGGCGTCGTCAAATTAACGTATGTTAGATCTCACCGGCTGAAACTACCTTAAGATCCAAAAGACGTGGCTTTTGCTCTCAGGGTTGCGTCGCCAAAATAGCACCTGGCCCGAAAGAAGGTTCCAGGAATGGTCTTGATGGTAAATTACGGAAAGTAAAAAACTGCCGGCGTAATGTTCTGGATACAACTGTCACCATTTTTGTTCAAGGTCCTATTAAATCCGGAACGGTTGCGTTATTATTCGTTAGAGAAGTGGCAGATCCACTAAAGTTGGGCTCATTTAAGTCTGTTAACGCGCAGACTAGTGCAATATCGTGGCATGCAGATGCTAGTACCATTAAAAAAGCATTGATCACTGTGACAAACGGTGCTTTAACGACGAATAATATTGTGGTCACGTGCGATGGAGACGTGTCGAAGGCATTTAATTATGGCCACTCGTATCGAATCACTTTGTTGGCTCCAATGTCGCGGGACATGTGACAGATGGAATGTTAAGACGCAAGTTTTGTCACTATCGGCAGGACGCCGTTCATTTGTGAAGTGGCGATGAAGCATGACATTGCGATGGGAACAGATACGACAGTGCAGCAAGTGATTGTAATTATACATACTTAAGTTTAATCATCTCGGCGCAATAAAGACGTCGAGCTGCATCCCTTATGACGCGTCAGCTAGTACAATGGATAACATCCTATGAGTAATATTGTCCACGTTTACGTGACACGAGAAATGGACAGCACAATTGCGCCAATGGATTTGTTTACAAGATTTTCTTCCACGGCAATGGCGTATATGGCGATGTAAATCAACTTACGTTTCTCATGTACACTAATTTTTAAACTGCAGAAATGAATGCGCTCTCGATGGACAAGTAGCCATTTCGATGGTCGATTATGGTGATTTTAACGCTTTGAACACATTTGTCAGTGCTGCATCGGCCACTGCCGCTAAGCGTTTAATTAATTAGACTCAATTACCAATTTTTGGAAATGTCTCGGTCTCACAATCGCTTGTAGACAAACAAGGTGGATACTTTTGGACCGCCGCCGTCGCATTTG